TTAAATCAAATTTGGATTATTTACATCCCATTCAAGAATGACTAATGAACATGTGCACCAAGTCCAAATCCTTCTCTTTATGCCCAACAAGAGTGACTGATTTCCAGCACCGTTTTAATGTTAATAAATTGATTTGTTCATTATACATACACTAATATTTCTTTAATTTGTAAAATGATGGGTTGAACTCCAGCTAGCTACAAAATTATTGAAAGAAAAATGCACAAAGAATAAAAAACCAAAGCTTCTTAAGTCAGCTCAAGTCTCCTCTTCATGCGTCTTAACCACGTCTACACGCCCCTAATTAAAAATAGCAGTGATTTTTCTATGTGAGAAAATCACCACCGAAAATTCAAAGCACGCTGCACGTACAACTCAACAATTGCTGCAACTTCTATTTGTAATTTCTAGCGCCATTATTTAATTATTGTGTTTTATTAAAAGTAATGTTCAAATAACGTGGCAACAATAAACAGAGGACATCTAGAATATAATAATAAGTTTGCTAATATATATTAGTTTTCTTTCTTTTTTTTTTTGTACACAAAACAAATCATAGACAATAATACCTCCGAAAATTTGTGAAATTTTATTAATTTAAAATCACAAGAAAATATTGAGTATAATTCAAAAGGATGCCGTTGATTCCTACATCTGGACCATACATTATTTGATTCTCTCTCAATTCTTTTATATATATATATATATATATAAGTTTTTGCCAGAGAAATTTAAACAAAACAATTTGTATAGTAAAAATAATTTAAACATTCTAAAATGAAAAGAGATAGAGGACATGGATAGAAATACCAATGAGTCAACGATTCTTTTTTAGCAGGTTTCCATAATCCATGCTTCAACTGTCACTTTGTCAAAGAATTTACCCAAGAGAAATTTCTTGAGAGGTGGGGCCCACAAGAGTATAACTGGCAGAGCATAATAATAGCCAATCTTAAAGGCTAAAGTGCCTTGTTGATTCTTAATTTATATTTTCATTGTTGTTTCGTCCGTGTGGGTGTGTGTGTTATTTGTTTCTTTTTAATCGGCTCTGTTCATTGTTTTGGTCTTTAATGAAATGCAAGTGATACGGGAAAAAAAAGGCTTGAAATGGGTCAAATAATAGGCCCATATGCTTAGGAGCTCGTCTGAGCCTCTTAACGTATTCTGATCAATTTTAAATATGCCAAGTCTATTGACTATCATGAACTATAGCAAATGAGAAACAACTAATACTATTAGCAAAGGCACAAAAAAATAAAATGAAACTATTTTATAATCACTCAAAACAAAGGGAAAGAGTCACGCATTTTATTGCAACATGAGTGTTGAAGCAACAATTTTGTAAAGATCTATTAGCGAGATCTCCCATAAATAGCATATGAATTTTATCTATTTTTTTCTCTAGGTGAACTCCCGTCCACTGATCATGCAATGTATGATGCTAACTTATTAATGAAATTTTCATTTTCAATACAAAGACATGGAGCTCACAACCATGCGCTATCCAAATGAGCATTAAATCTCATTTTTTTTCACATTCTTCACATATATCTATCATTTTCACCCTCAATACATTCATCTTTATCATAGTCATCTTTAACTACTCATTTTCATACCACAATGCAACTTTGAAATTCATTTTATAATCACCTTTGCATATTAGTTCAAATCAAAGAAAATATACAATCACATGATTTCATAGCATGTTGCACATATTCACAAGTCACAATTTCTCATGCTTAACACACATTTCACATTACATTGCAATTAATAAACAACTATCAAAGTAAGGTTATCTCGGTTACCTCAAACCTTTGAGAGGTCAAATGTTTACCCCCTCAATATTTAGCTTCCAAGCTTGATTTCCTAAGCCAAAATGGTGCCCAAATGCTCAATCTACAATTAACCAATTTTAAATTTCATTAACAATGTCAAACACCCACTTTCACTCTTATACTCTTGCTTCTATAACACCCAACATCTTTAATATACACTTTTGAGCTTACCCATTAGGTTTATTAATTCTCTTTAATTTTCAATAGCATTAATGAGCCATTAAACCTTTATTAATAGCATCACAACTCTTTTAACAACCTTCATTAATGTTATTTTTTGATATTAACGACATTTACTAACCAAGAATGTCAAAACTTATTATTTCTAAGTTTAAATACTCCAATCAACTTTCATTAACTTCATTTAAGTTAATAGATTCAGACCCATAATCTATATAGACTGAAAATCATAATTTCAACTTAAACCCTAATTCTAATCCCCATTAAAATGAAAGAGAGAGGAAGGAATAGAGTATAGGATATTTATCTTGGGTGATTACTAGCTCCAAAACGTCCCAAATGACCTCCAAATGTGAACCCTAATAGAGTTTCTCATTAGTTCTTCATTTCCTTCCTTTTCTCCTCTTTGATTTTCAGTCTATTCATGATCAGTTTATCAAAGTTTTAAGCTGTGTGTTGCAATGCATGGCACAGAGAGGTCCTTTCTACTTTGTTGCCATTGGTGTATTGCAGCAAACGTGCTGCACGCTGTGACATATAACATAGAGACACTTGCTTTGTGTTTTATCCTCCTTTTGATGCTCAAGTAGCCCGAATTCACTTTGGACCCATAACTAGGGCTGAAAACACAATCAATTTTAATTATTAGACCTTTATGGCCGCACACCATATCAAAACACTTAATTACTACAACCAAACTTAATTAACTTCTTAGTAATCCAGGGATTAAATTTTGAGATGTTACAAGTGTGACCCAAATTGGTAATGTTATGGATACTTTGGAGAAGTTTGGATAGAGTGTGTTTTTTTTCCAAGAATGTTGGTAGGATGAAGCAAATAGAGGAATTGGAGCGTTATTGCTGTGAAACCTCAAAGTTTATGTGCACAAGTTTTGCATGAAAAGTATGAGAGAGGTGCGGATTTAATGAAGGAATGTGTTGTGAAGAATTCTAACTCAAAAATGTGAAAGAATTTGGCTAACTTTAGTTGGTAATATAACGTGGGATGTTAGAGATGGTGAAGGGGTGGACTTTTGAACTTATGTTTGGGTGGATGGTGGGTTAAGATTGATTTAAAAGTGCAAGATGAAGCCATCTGTTGAGTGGTTGCATGCAAAAGGCAGAAAAATAGTTGATGTTAATGGAGAATGGAGGATAGCTTTGTTGAAGAATGTCTTATATGATGAGATAATTCTTTATAGAATAAGGAGTAGCTAAAGTATAACTCAACATGCAAGGATGAGAAGGTTGTTTTTGAATTCACTTATTGGAATTTGTGGACTTGGTGAAACAAATGACAATTTGAAGAAGGTTTTTTAGACCTTTTAAAATGGAATTTGTTGAAGTATGCTATGACTGGTTTGAAACGATAGATTAAGAATATCAGTTGTGAAGCTCCTCTGAGTGGTTGGCTTTTGATGGTGCAGCGAACAGTCATCCAAGGCTAGCTGGATGTGGTGGACTACTAAAGACTATTGAAGGTCATTGGATAAGGGGAATTTGCAGGAATTCGAGTTGTTGAAATCTGTCAAGGTTGAATTGTGGGGTGCTTTGATAGGTTTACAGATGTCAAAGAGCATGAGTGTACATAATTTAATTGTTGAGAGTGATTCTACTTTGGTTGTGAATATTCTGTCTAAAGTTGCTGAAAAGGGATAGTATAATGAAGGAGATTTATAGATTACTAGGTTATTTTTTCTAGGTGAGGATTAAGCATGTGTATAAGGAAGAAAATATGAGTGCTGATTGTTTAGCTAAGCTAAGATGAGCATTTACTTGGCCCATGGAGTGGTGTTTAAAAAAGTAGGCGATTTATGGTTTCGGGATGCGGTAGGAGTAGTGCTCTCGTGTTCAGTTTTGTTTGGGCTTAAGCCCAGTACTTTATCAAAAAGATTGTAAATTGTGTACTTTTGATTTATGATTGTTTATTTATGTTATTTTGGACTTAAGAAAATGGATTTTTAAATCATTTGAAGTTATGAATTTAGGTGAAGTTTCTTTTAAAAAAATATTTTTTGCTCATTTTATTATTTTTTAAACAATATAAAATCTTATCTCTCTTTATTAGGAAAAAAAATTCATCTAAATTCACTAAACACAGTTTCAAAGGATCTAAATCTTAAGGAATTATTTAATTTGATAAATGTGGCGCTGTGTTCACTTAAGTTATATTTTTAGTCTCTTATGGCTGACTTATTGTATTAGTTTTATTGCCACTTTATGGGTTTGTGTTTCCAGGTGAAAAAAGTGAACTTAATTATTTAAAATTGAAAAATCTAGATATCGTTACGGATGATAGTTATTTAATTTTTATTTTTTCAACTCTCTCTTTTACTCTTTATTTTTTTTAGTAGTGTTGTTACTTGTTATCAACAAAAGCGATTCGATGATCACTTGATAGTCAGTCAATTAAAATGATATTTTGATATTTTATATAAAAAATAATAAAATAATAATAATAAAATCTCTTTAAAATATATAAATAATAATTTGATCTCTCAAAATATCATAATTTTTTTTGAAATCTTTACAAATTTTTTTGTGATTAATGAATTTATATAAATTATTAAATTGTCCTTGTTAAAAATAAATGATTTATAACTTTTTTTTATATTTACAATTTTTCTTCCTAAATTCGCAATAATATGACAGCAAATCACAAATTCACACATAAAATTTGTTATTTGCTATTGTATTATTGCGAATATAAAAAAAGTTATAAATATAAAAAAATTATGAATCATTTATTTTTAACAAAAATAATTTAATAATTTATATAAATTTATTAATTATCAATGACAGATAAATTTTTATAAAGTTTAAAAAAATTATTATATTTTAAAAGATTAAATAATCATTTATATATTTTAAAAAAATTTTATTATATTTTTTTTAAAAAAAATCATATGTTAATAATTGCGGGCAAAATTTTCTTTTAACTCTTGTATATTATTATTGACAGTCAACTGCTGAAACGATTAACTTGTCCTTCATCTTCCTGGTTTCCCCTTCCCGATCAGCTCCGATTGAGGCCTCCCTTAACCGCATCGCACGTCTACCCCTCTGCCCTGCCGGCTATTTCACCGCCATTGCCACCACCGATCAAGACGGTGGTGCCTGATCCCCTGACCTAGATTCCTGTAGCTTTCATCTGGTACGATCATCCCATGACTCTTCATCTTACACTCTTTTTCTTGTATAACATAAACTTATACAATAATTCTTCTTTTGATGTGGATATTTTTATTATCAGTCTGATATAGCATTTAGATATTCCATTATGATTCCTGTGATAATGTGAAGGGTTAAAATGAAAGCCTTGTCTGGAGTAGTTCTGGGCTTTAATCGGTATTAGGTGATCGGGAGTTTTGAATAGAAGAGTATGAATTGCCAAATGCGCAATACATGGCTTCCTGGAATTGTCGTATATGGTTTGTGCTAGATCTGCCCATTTCTAACACTTCGAAAATTAGAATTCTCCTCTCGGTATTTCCATCTTTTTCATTGTCCTGATTGAAGCCTTGCACTGGTAGAGATCTCTTGCCTCCATTCATGGGTGTCATTCTAACCCCATATTTTTCATTTTCCAAACACTGCCTGTGAATTTCCTCTGTTTAAAGTTTAATTTCTTAATTTGTTATTGAATTTTGTAGCTTTTAACTCTAGTCAACTCAATAAAGCATTTCCTCTTTTTCAACTTAAATGGAAACAACTGATGCTTGAAAAATATAGCAAAAAGGAAATTAAATAAGTATTTCCCTGGGTCTCACTTGTGCCCAAATATGATATTACAGAAAAACTGGATTTTAATGCAAAACCTTTTCCAACATCAGCATGATGATGTTGTACACTCTGATGAGCTGAAATTTACAGATTTGAACAGAATGGGGTCTTTTTTTTTTTTTTGCTAACAGTAAAATGGGTATCTGCGGAAAACTGAACGTTAAGGCTAAGGGTAAGTAAGAAAATTCTATTACAGAATCTTTTTCTGAAAGCTCATAATCCAATGCTTAATATACCTAATAATATTGTAGAAGGAAGAAAAAAGGAGAAGAGAAAGAGGTTTGCGGGAAATGAATCAGAAAGTGGAGTCAATAGTTTTAAAATTAACATTCTTGTAAAGACGAAGGAAGTGTTAGAGGGGAAGGTGGGGAATTTCAAGGGGAATAATTAACTTCGTATAGATGAGCTGGATGAGAGATGAGTGAGAAGAAGTTGGTTATCAGAGGAATCTTCAGGGTTGATCTTTGGAGGGGCGATCAGTGAGGATAAAACCAGGAGTTGTGGGAGTGACTTTTGCCTCTAGAAAGACAGGGAGTGTTTTGGTTCTTTATTTCTGCTGCTTTATCTGCTACTGTAGCCTGCTGTTATTTTCCTTTTCTATGTTTTTTGGCTGGTACTACTTTCTTTGTATCAGTTACCCTAAACAGCAATGCTCTTCTTATTTCTGTTGATTCAATAATGTTTTGGTGGAGGTTCTATCAACAGCTTAGTTAAATAACTTGTGTATAGAAACCAAAGATTTTTGTTCATTAGCTAATAATTGTCAGTGAACATGTTTTGTCTAATGATATCACACGGGTCTATATTCTGTTTTATTATCTGTATTCTGAATAGTCATTGGTCTGGATAAACACTATTAGAAATAAGTCCTTGCTTCTGTTTTCAAGCTATGCTCTGTTTCTGCAGGTTACCTACGTGGGCTTTCAGTTTTGGATTGTCGAGAATGGCACTGTTCTTGGCTTTGGGGGATTTGCACATACCACACAGGGCCCTTGATCTGCCAGCAAAGTTCAAATCCATGCTTGTCCCTGGCAAAATCCAGCACATCATTTGCACAGGAAATTTGTGCATCAAAGTATGTCTGTCTTTCTTTTTTTCTAAAACAAAGCATGTCTTTGTTATTGACCTTATCCATATTAGACTTAGCTTATGTGTGCCTGTGTGTTTTCAACTTTTTGCCCTTTTTAGTGGAGGTCCTTCATGACATCTGCTTGTGACCACAACAATATCCTCCTCGTAATTGCCATAGACAATCTCAATCACTAGATAAAGTATATCTTTAAAATATCTTTATGCATCCCAATTGTATATGAAGCTATAGGACTTTCTTTGATGGACAATCTTGTAGTTCTCAATTACATAGTTGTCCCACTTGTTGATCTAATTAATCCCTTTATTGCCCCCTATTTGCTCTTAAATTGTGAACACTTAACCTCTTCATTATTTGTACTAGGTGTTGAATAATGTTGTTTTGCTGTCATCTTAAATTGAAATGTTGACAATAACACTGCTGGTGGTCACTTAGCCCTCAATTTTGTCAGTAAATGAAAGTACATTCCATTTGGGTAAAAAAGGAAGAAAATTAATTTCAGTGAAGTGCTCCTTTTGCCCATTTTCTATTATCTGGCATGCTGAAGTATTCGTAGATATATCAGACAATTTTTTGCTTTTTTCAATTTTGGGCCTTCCTTTCTTCAGTTTTCACGTCTCTCTTCAAATACTCCGGTTCTTCCTCACCAGTTCTTTTATTAAAGCTGCATACACAAAGTACTGGCAGTTACAAACTTACAATCATAGTTAGTAAAGACATGCCTTTTTCTTTCTAAATAAGGTTGCCTGGTACTCTAATTTTTTGATTTGTTTGGCTTCGCATGGGTTTCTAGAAGCAAACGAGATAGTTGGTAATTTCGTACTGAAAACATTCAAATGTGCTCTCAGATGGCTTATAATGCTTAAACTCATTAAATAAGCTGCACATTCTCAGCCTTTGTTTTTATTTTAGGTCCTGAAATACTGCTATTTCTTTAGTCCAAAATGTTCTGTGATGACTAAGAAATGAGATTGTTTGACTATATATCACACAAGGGGCTAGAGCCTGATTTCATTACCGTTAGTGGTTGTTTTTTTTTTTTTTTCCTTTTTTAAAAGTATAACAGGTAGAGTTCTTTTAAGAATGAGATCTAACTTTATTTTGAGTTCAACTCTTACTATTATACATTTTCTGTTTTATTCTCCTGGGGCTTATGTAGAAGCTTTGCAAGTAGGCTAGCTATTTGTTTCGAAACATTTGGTTCAGAGGTTTTGGTCTGGATTTAGTTACCCCAACCATATGATCCTTTGACTTGTTTAACTTCTGGTTCTGGCTTTGAAATCTCCAATAGTAGTTAATATCTTTTAAACCCATATAATTCTAACGTTAGGATAGGATTCCAATTTCATCTTGTGTTGATTTATACCACTACTCACTCATCACTCGAACTAAAAGTTTAAACTATTTGAAGGAGCACAGTTGTCACACCTCGATATTATGGGTATGACCGGCATGAAATATGAGGAGAATTTATATTCTATAAGCCCTAATAATAAAAAATTATGCTAAAATATTGATATTTGTAAGTTATATATAATAATAAAGTTCGTAAAATCTTAAGTGTTTTATAAAAATTTTGGCAAAGTCTCCCCTATAACTCAGACTTCCCAAAATTTCCACAACAACAACAGAACTTGCCAACCAGACCAGCAAGGAGAGTAGCTCCATTCCAGCAATTTACATAATAACAAAATAAGATTAGGATCTAACTATGGCATATGTGGAGCACTAAGTTATGATTACAAAATATAATACATAGTTTTACCAAAACAATAACCGCGATATGCCTCCTCTTTTCCAAAAAGGCAAAAGGCCTCTTAATGATCTACTGAATGCATAGAGTCAGCTACGTTATCTAAGATCAAAGAAATTGCTGGTGAGTAGTGTTCCAATTATATATATATATATATATATATATGAAGACCTTAATGAATAAATTTAATTCAAAAATTTTTGAAATAATGTACCATGGACTTAAACTAATAATGATAAACAAGTTTTCCCAATAATACAATTATGAATTTGATAAATGTTAATAGGACAAAATAGTTTATCAAAATTTATAATGTTAATAGAATATAAAAATTTCAACCAACAGTATGACTAAGTAGAATGCTTTTAAAGAAATAATATAGAATAATAAATTTTAAGTTTAGATCTAGGAGGGCTTTATTAGAACGAATAGCAAACGTGGACACACGGTCTATAAGGGTAACTAATCAAGCATGGACACACAATCCACGAGGATAACTAACCTATCAAGCGCTGCTAGAGCCACGAGTCGAGCGCAAGCATGAGGCCCATGAACAAGCATGAGTACAATGCTAACGAATAATTGTCCCTCTGTTTCACATGCATTGGCTTGCCGCTTGCGCACGGGGTTAGCACCTCCCATAAGCACCCTGCTAGCTAGGTGTACCATGGTATGCCAAGACTAACAGAACTGTCGTTAGCATTCAACGTTCTGAACTCAGTCCCCTTCATTAAAATCAAGTGTGTATGGAGAAAGAAAATAGTTTTAAAATTCTCACTTTCAAATATTATTCAACTATCATTTTCTATTGCCTAAAATTATCATCATTTCCTCCATACACAAACTATTGCAATAAAAATTTTATATCAACGTAGAATTAAATGATTAAACTACTTATGAGAAATAATACCATTAATATGGAAATAAGATTAACAAGAATATGCAAACAATTATAAAGAAATAATAATAATATTTAAATAAAAAAATTTTATAAATACTTTACTGAAAATATATTCGGAACGTCATTCACTCACCTAAGTTTTTCAAAAATCTTATAGTCAGACTCCGTCAATTTCTTGCTTAATTCAATGATGCTCCAAATTAATCTAACATATAAACCAACACATTTTATGTTACTATGATTTCTCTCCTTAATATAAGTAAATAAAATTAATGTTCAAACTCCTCAGTTATTCGTTAAATTCTTTAATAACCATATAACTACAAAGAATATTTTTCATAATCAAATTCCTTTGCCAATTTCAAGTTAAACGCAACTAAATGGCATTTAAATCAATCTTACTTCTCACCATAATTTATACAATTTTAAAAAAAAATATTTTTAACTAGAACTCTCTTAATGGGCATTCTATCAAACACCCCACGTGCATAAACTTTTAATTTTTTACACTAAATTCTTCTCTTCAAATCTCTCCCCAAATTCCTCCTAACAATTCTACAACACCAATACTCCAACAAATCCAACTTATGCGTGCAGTCACACAACCATAGAAATAGAGAGAAATAATCAATTTATTTATTTATTTTTATCTTTTATAGCTATTAGTTTTGACCTACACACATACATTCAGTAAAGAAAGGCACAATTAGCAACTTCAACTATTAAAACGCCCACATACCAAATTAATAACAAGGAGTTTAAACTTTCAGACATGAACCTATAATGATAAGGAAGAGGAAGAGAAAGAAGTGGACCAAAACAGAGGAAGGAAGAATTCACGCACCAACAGCTGCACCCACAGTGACGCATGAATGGAGGAGAAGAAAGACTAAAGTTTCCAATCACCCCCACCTCCAGCGACGGCAACAGAAGAACAAGAGCTGAGAGGGAAAGACGTTGCTATTCAGACACCTAGAAGATCGCCGGGATGTTGAAAATAAACACACGCATGACTATCAACTTAGAACAGAGACAGCATTAAGGAACGACAAACTAAGAAATTCAGCAACTCCATACTCTCCCTCTCAATGACAAAAACACAAAATAATAGCTGGCACACACCTCACGGACTCATGTTGACACAGATCATCATGGAGACAGGGAAAGGAAGTCAGCAACTGAACTACAACATGGTTGGAAACGTGAATGAAAAGGACGAAGCAACAACAGCAAAAACAGTCTCCTACCACAGCAAACTAAGAAGGTTTATAAGAGTTAAGGAAATGAACCGACTAAGTAAGTGCAGTTTAGATAATGATAAAAAAATTCACACACATACTGCATATATGAAATCTCATATATACAATAAAATCATTAATTACCAGCCCAAAATGGTAAGACCATACTCGGTAAGATACATTGGATAGCACTAGCACTGCTATTCTACACACTTGCTTTTGGTCCATAATCCCTACACAACACCTCATAAACAATCTGGTAGGCACCTCTAACCATATCACAAAACTCTTAGGCCGAAGGGAGAGGAGAGGCATAGAAAAAGTAACGACAGGTCATCATAATAAACTGAGTTATAAACGAAAAATTTTAATAAGATAAATCCTTTTCCTCCTTATTGCAATCTTAACAAATTTTACATATGTCAGATGAAAATTATGAATACATACTAGTAAAATATATTTTTTGGCCAGTGCACTAATAAAATATATGAACAAATAATATGAGAAACAGTAATAAACAAAAGTTCTATGCCACATATAGGATGTAAATGACTTGAGGATAACAATAAGATAAAGTAGCCTGTAATGATTTTCACCATAACAAAAGTGGCTGCTATGTAATAGCAATAATATTGGTCATGCTGAAATTACTAAGATATATTCGCCATTGCAAAAGTGGCAGCGACTGCATCTTTTATTCACGGAAAATGTAATTGTAAATTCCTCTTCATCATGTGTTCTCTTATCTCCTTTATAGCATGTTTCTTCTTCCTTTTATTTTGGGCTTTAAGCAACGTGGATCATTCAATTCCCCCCCAAATGCTCTGATGACAACAATTTTATTATAATAATGGGAGAGGAGGAAGGTATAATAATGATTGAGGAAGTTAATGATGATATGGAGGTATTTAAGAAGACTGATCATGGGAGGAGAAGTTGTGACCCACATTTTCATCCATTTGCTAACTGGTTAATGATCATTGCTCCCACTACTCCAATATTCCTTAGCGAGAAGCAATTATGGAGGAGCTAATTAAACACAAACTAAAACAATAAATTATGAGTACAAAGTTGGGAAGTTAGGATAATAGAGAGATTTTTGGAGATAAGGAAGTTACACATATTTACTTGTAATTTTTAAATTTTAAATAAAAAATTTGAAATTGTAAATAAATTAATAGAAAGTTAGGATAATGAAGAGATACTTGTTGTGGCGTAGTTTTATATTTTTTTTTATTTATATTTAAAAAATAAGAGCATAAATGATAGCATTCTAATTTTATAATTTTATATATACATAATTTAGTTGATTTAAAATGTTATACTATTTATCATTATTCTTATTTCTATCTTGCCATGATCTCTTAGTTTTTAAAATTAAATGTTTAAAATAGGAATAAGATTAATGATGGAAGAGTGGGAGG